TATATATATATAACAGTATATTTGAACTCTTCACTAAATCAAATGAGCTCATATACCACTCAAAAATTCAAAGAATTTTCTATCAATGAAACTAAAGTAAACCCTTTTAGTTTAGTACAGTGTCTTTTGCTACATCTTACTGTTGCAGTGAGGCTGAGGCTTGTAACTGGGATTGATGACATTTTTTTGAGAGGTGAACAATAATAAAAACATCTTACTTGTAATAAAAAAAATCTATGTTTTGAAACCTGGGATCATTAAAAAAAATGAATTTACAACCAGATAAAATTTAGTTGTTCATTTTATTTTTATAATAGTCTTGAATTTGTCACATCAACTTTATTTGGTATCTGTACCCTCAAACTATTTAATGTTACTGTTAATAAACCTTGGTAAAAAAAAAAAAGTAAATGAAATATTTACCCCAAACATGTATATTTAACATATACATTTATTTACTAATGCTCACTCATTGCAATATGTTGCCTTTGGGAAGGTATTCAACTGTCAGATTTGTAAAGTAACACCTTTTTTTAACTGTACTTAAGTAGAAATCTTGGTTATCTGTACTTTACTTGAGTAATAATTTTTCAGTGTATTTTTTACTTTTACTCATTACATTTTACACAATTATCTGTACTTTCTACTCACTACATTTTTAAAAAAGTTAAAAAGTAGGAAGTTGTTACTCCTATTTCATTCCGAGTTGTTATTACTTAAAAATATATACTATCCTTATAAATTATGTCTCCTAGATAGAATGAATTTAACTGTAGTTGAATGAGAAGTATAAATATTTACCATTCTGATGCAGTATTAGCTTGTACACAACCCATCACAGCTGCACACCGTTAGAAAAATATTTTTTGGAGAGGTCATCTTGGAAAATCTAACTGCTCACTTTTACTCAGTACTTTTACTTTTAATACTTATGTGGATTTTGTGTCAGAAATTTACTTTTGATACTTAAGTACAAAAGAAATTCTGATACTTTAAAGCTTTTACTCAAGTAATATTTTTAGAGAAGACTTTAACTTTTATAAAAGTATTTTTATGATAAGATACTTATACTTTTTCTCAAGTATCACTTTGAGGTACTTTATACAACACTGTCAACTGTTCACTTTCTTAATCTGCTTGTTCCTGATCAGGATCCATCATGGAGTCAAATAAAGACAATCATTCACACAGGGTAATAACATGCATGTTTTTGGTCTGGAGTAGGAAACCAGAGTACCTGGAGAAAACCCACGGCCATGGTCACAGCCAGGAGTTGAACCTGTGACCTCCATGCTGCAGATCAGATCAGCAGTGCTAACAAATCGGGCCCCCTTGAAGCAATTTAAGTGATTAAAGAGGGTCCTCTCTGGTTTCACACTCGATCATCGGTTCATGTTTGTTTGGGAAGAAGCCATGGAGACAAGCGGTTTAATTCTGACCTGTCTTCTTGCATCTGATTCAGGTGAGGACAGTCGAGCAGTAAGAGCAGCGAGAGGTCCTCCCCTCCCCTCAGGAGGAGGGGTTCACCTCGGAGAGCCTGGTTCCACCTGAGCTTTTTTTCCTGTTAAAAGGTAGTTTTCCCTTTATCACTGTCTCCAACACATCCCAGAGTCTTTTCGTCTGTCACTGGATTAAATGTAAGTAAAAATACCAGGAGATAAAATTGGGTCAGCCTGACTGGCTTGCTGTCTGGGACTCAACATATAAATAAATAATCAGACAAAATATATTATTTTCTTGCAGTCAGTGCTTAAGATTTGTGTTAACAGCTGGCTGAGACAGATGTTCTGTAGGCGGGCCTTTTCAGGACCCCACTAACAACATTCAAATACAATTTTATTATATTTCTTATTCAAGATTTATTATAGACACGTGTGCAGGTTTAAAAGTTCATTTTGATGAAAGATTTATTAAACTCTGAAATAATGTTAGAAAAGAGGTTACACATACCGTATGTATGCACGTATGTGTGTGTATATGTGAATGTTTGTATGTATATGTGCCTGATTGTGTGTGATGGTTAAATGTCGGGTGTGGTGTCCTGTGTGTTATTGGTGTTCATTTCACATGTTGTATAATTTCTACCGGTTTCTCTCTTTACTGTTCTTATATTTCTCTTCTACTTTTTCTTTTTCTTTCTTACTATAGTATTAAAAAATGCCACTGATGATGCAGAAATTAAGATACAAACATTCAGTTTTGTTTTCCACTGAAGTGGCAAAAAAATAGTAAATTTTCTGTATGTTTCAGTATAATTGAATCTGTTGATTTTGGAGGGGGTTGTGATTACATAATGTTTTTGTCTACGTCGTCACCTATGTAAGAATATACATGTTCACATTCCAGTGCCCCCATTAGTTTACTACACACAGTTTTTGTACTTGATTATTACTACTATTATCTACTTTGTTTTATTACTCCTAAATACTAACAAACAGCATAGAGACACATTCTGTTGTTTAAATATGAATATATATGTAAAAATATGTGAAACTGTAACTGTCCCCGTTTTTTCGCATAACATTCAGCTGTTTTTTTTATTTCTGAGCTGGAAATATCCCCAGATTTAGTGTCAGAAATCTGGTCACCTTATTTTAAATTTAGTCTCAAACTAGCAGTGCGTGATTTAATTATAAGCTGTCATTTGTATTTTACAATTCTGTCAAGTGAGAGGCCCAAATACGTCTCACTTCACACATGATCTGTTTTATCTCAGGGTCAGAGGTCATCTGGTGCCTCTGAATCTGTAAAGTATGTGCTGATTTATTCTGTGACATTTAAACAAAATATATCACAACTGTTTCAGTGTTGTGTACTTAGCAGAGATTCAAAAGTCACAACTTAAAACTCATTGAACACTGAAAAAAAACTGGGTTTTGCCAAGAATTTTCCTATTCTGTGTTTGTTTTTTTTTGTTCTACCTTTCACTTTTTTATTTATAGTTACTAGGAGGGAATTAGGAGTTTGAGACAAAAGACAAACAACTGATTAATCCCCTGAAGACAGTCAGCTTCCATCTGCTGCTAAAATTGGTTCCATCCTAAAACTGAAACATTTTTAGTTTTTCTGTAATTCCTGTGTGGATTCTGTTTTTAGACAAGACAAGACAACACTCCTCATCTGTCAGTCTCAAACTAGCATAACACAAACACACACGCACGCACGCACGCACGCACGCAT